TGTACATGCTGCTACTGCTACTGGTCAAGCTGCTACTGCAGCTGCTACTAAACAACATAATTCTCGTGAACATGCTGTTATTATCGAAGATCCTGCTTCCGCTGACCAGGAACTACATGCTTCTACGGAACACGTCACGTCTCCCAAACATGTTCCATCTACTGAACAACCCGGTCATCCCGAACGCGCTGTCGTAACTGCGCATTCACCGCCTCTGCTGGTGGCTCCATCTACAACAGAGCGGGGAAACGCCGCTGACGCAGACGCCGTCCCCCGCGCGGCGCTCACGCATGACGCTATCACGTGCAGCGACGACGACGACGGCGGGGAAGCCCGACCGACGTCAGGGGGCGCTCGCCGCGAATCGGCAAACTCGGTAGGTGGCCGAGACCGGACGACCCTCGACACGAGACCTTTGACTTTGACCTGTAGCTTTAGCGACGCGCAGGTTGGCGAGGCTAGAGCGCCCTCTACCGGCGACGGGGCAGCGTCTCCGAGAAAGGAATCTAGCGCGAAGGAGAAAAGTGTAAAGAAGACGAAGAAGGGCAGCGTGAAGAGAGCCAGTAGAAAAGAAGCCAGCAAGAAAGAAACCGGTGCGAAGAACGACGGTGAAAAAACCCCCAGTGCGATGGAGCTCGGCGTGAAGAGAACCAGTGCAGAAGAAACCGCTGCAAAAGAATCTAGCACAAAGGAAGGCAGCACGAAGGAAGGCAGCACAAAGGAAGCCAGCACGAAGGAAGACAACACTAAGGAGACCAGCAAAGTAAAACTCATCGTTCAGGAAGCCGGTGGTGCAAAAGAAACCATCCCGAAGAAAACCACTGGAGAACCAATCGGCCCAAAGAAAGCTAGCATGAAGGAGGCTAGCACGAAGGAAGCCTCCGCAAAGGAAGCTTCTGTGAAGGAAGCCAGCTTAACTGAGCTGGGCTTGACGGATGCGGGATGGAGAGGCGAGAGCGCACGCGTTCCCAGCCAGGCTAGTATCATCAGCTGCCGCGAATCGGGAAACTCTGACATCCTCTGCGAGTGCATCGAACTGCGGTCGGCAGCCGACGTCGCCCCGGGCGGTGGCGCCACCATCTCCTGCTCGTGCGGCGAATGTAGCATCTGCGCACGCGCGGCGCTGACGTTTAACGGCGAGATGGCGGCTGTGCGACTGATGCCGCCGCCGCTGCCGCCGCCGCGTCGCCACCGGACGGACGCTGTGACGTCATTGAGCGCACGGCAGACGCGTAGTAACGGGGAAGCGGGAGGTCTGTTGGTGGGCAAAGCTACGATGGAGAAACAGCGGCAGGAGCTGTTGAATGGCAACGGTCGGTGGCTGTTCACGGACACCAGCAAGCAGCAGCCGAGCTGAGCTCTCTCTCTCTCTCTCTCTCTACCTGTTCGCACACACACGCACGCACGCGCACGCACGCGCACACCAGCACACAGACTCGTGCATACGTACAATCACACACACACACGCGCGCGCACATATGCACGCACACACGCACGCAAGCACTAAACCACTCACATACCCACACACATGTACAACTACAAGCATACACGTACAAGCACACACGCGCGCGCACACACACGCCCGTACAAGCATACACGTATACAAGCACACACGCACACACGCGCGCGCACACACACGCCCGTACAAGCACACACGTATACACGCACACACGCACACACGCGCGCGCACACACACGCCCGTACAAGAACACACGTATACACGCACACACGCACGCACGTGCGCATACTAACACTTATGCGCGCGCAAACGCACGCATGCACAAACTCACGTACATCCACGCACACACCCAGGCACACACAACACTCACACATGCACGCACGCATAAACGCACGAACGCACAAACACGCGCACGCACACACAACACCCACGCACGTACACACGCACTCGCACACACACAGCTACGATGATCGCACCGCTGCACAAACATGATATATACATTTATGACGCTGCATACAAACCTACAGAGTTTACATTCACGAGAGCGAGAAGGGGTAGAGAGAGAGAGGGGGAGAGAGAGAAAGAGAGAAAGAGAGAGAGGGAGAGAGAGAGAGCGCGCGAGAGAGAGAGAGCGAGAGAGCGAGAGAGAGAGAGAGAGAGCGCGAGAGAGCGAGAGAGCGAGAGAGAGCGAGAGAGCGAAAGAGAGAGAGCGAGAAAGAGATAGACAGAGAGAGAGAGAGAGAGAGAGAGAGAGAGAGAGAGAGAGAGAGAGCGAGAGCGAGAAAGAGCGCGAGCGAGAGAGTGAGAGAGTGAGATAGACATAGAGAGAGAAAGAGAGAGAGAGAGAGAGAGCGAGAGAGAGATAGACAGAGAGAAAGAGCGAGAGAGAGATAGACATAGAGAGACAAAGAGAGCGAGAGATAGAAAAAGAGAGAGCGCGAGAGAGAGAGCGAGAAAGAGATAGACCGAGAGAGAGAGATAGACAGAGAGAGAGATAGACAGAGAGAGAGAGAGCGAGAGAGAGAGCGAGAGAGAGAGAGGCAGAGAGACAGAGAGACAGAGCTACAGAGAGGGAGAGAGAGAGAAAGAGAGAGAGAGAGCGCGAGAGAGAGAGATAGACAGATAGAGAGAGCGCGAGAGAGAGAGCGCGAGAGAGCGATAGACAGAGAGAGAGAGAGAAAGAGAGAAGAGAAGAGAGATAGAGAGAGAGAGAGAGAGAGAGAGAGAGAGAGATACGAGAAAGTGAGAGTGAGAGAGAGAGTGTGTGTGTGGAGAGAGAGAGAGAGAGAGAGAGAGAGAGTGAAGCCAGAGAGAGAGAGAGATTGGGAAGAGAAGAGAGGCGAGAAGAGATAAAGAGAGAAGAAAAAGAGAGAGAGAGCGAGAGCGGAGAAAAGAGAAGAGAAAGAGAAGAAAAGAGAGAGAGAGTGAGAAGAGAAGAGAGAGAGAAAAAGGGAGGAAAAGAAGAAAAAAGAAGGGGGGAGAAAAGAGAGAGAGAGAGAGAGAGGGCGAGAGAGATAGAGTGAGAGGAGAGAGAGCGAGAGAGAAAGAGAGAGGAGAGGAGAGAGAGCGAGAGAGAGAGAGAGAGAGAGATGTGTGTGAGAGAAAGAGAGAAAGAGGAGAGAGAGAGAGTGAGCGAGAGGGCGAGAAGAGAAGAGAGAGCGATAGAAGAGAAAGAGCCGCGAGAGAGATAGAGTGTAAGAGAGAAGAAGAGAGAGAGAGAGAGCGGAGAGAAAGAGAGAGAGAGAGAGAGAGAGAGTGTGTGTGAGAAGAGAGAGAAAGAGAGAGAGAGAGTGAGCGAGAGAGAGAGAGAAGAGAGAGAGAGAGAGAGAGAGAAGAGAGAGAGCGATACGAGAGAGGAGAGAGAGAGAGAGAGAGAGAGAGAGAGAGGCGAAAGAGCGAGAGAGAAGAGAGAGAACAGCTCTGCTGCCGCTGCTGCTCTGCTGCTGATGTGGCAGGTGATGGGTTGACGCACCATCATATATACGGCGGTGAGCTGTTATTCAAGCTACTAGATCCCACGGTCAGCATCATATACTATTATTACTATTTTATATACTATAATATTATTAGTAGCGATTTCCATAGACGTGACTTTCATTCTACACACGCGATGCATCCATGTTATGATTGTCGTCGAATCTCAGAATGTGCGACTAGTCTAATCGTGTTTAAAAGTCAACTTACACCATTCTCGCTGCTTTCTCGCGGAAAAATTACGTATAATATAACATGTGTGTGGGGGCGTGCGTTCGTGCGTGCGTGCGCTGCGATTCGTGCGTATCGTTGCGTGCGTGCATGCGCGCGGCGCGGCGGCGCGTAGTGTGTGTGTGTGTGTGTGTGTGTGTGTGTTGTGTGTGTGTGTGTGTGTGTGTGTGTGTGTGTGTGTGTGCGTAGCGTGGCGTGATAGTGTAATATTATATATATGGCCTCATTGCTAGGCTGACATGCAATCTCGTAATAGAGTATTTACTGCACGATACTACTCATTACCTACTGAAATAGGGGTTTTTAATTTTCGTGAAGATCTGTTATATAATTATGCTAGCTAGTTTTTTCGTTGCGATGTCAGCCTGCGGCTGCAGTAGTAGAAGAGTTCCATAGAGTGTACTTTGTCACGGTTTGCGCAACTAATTTTTATCTTTCACGAATTTGTATAATATTTTGCAGTATATATTATATGTGCGCGCGTGTGCACTAAGTGTGTGTGTGTGTGTGTGTGTGTGTGATGTGTGTGTGGTGTGTTGTGTGGTGTGTGTGTGTGTGTGTGTGTGTGTGGTGTGTGTGCTGTGTGGGTGTGTGTGTGCATGTGTGTGTTGTGTGTGTGTGTGATTGTGTGTGTAAGTTGTTTGTCTGTGTGTGTGTGTGGGTGTGTTGTGTGTGATTGTGTAGTGTGTGTGTGTGTGTGCTGTGTGTGTGTGTGTGATGTGTGTGTGTGTGTAAGTGTGTGTATCGGTGTGTGCCGTGTGTGTGCGTGGTGCGTGCGAGTGTGTGTGTGTGATGTGTGTGTGTGTATGTTGTGTGTGCGTGTGTTGTGTATGTGTACGTGCGTGTGTTCGTGCGGGTGTGTGTGTGTGTGTGTTGTGTGTGTGTGTGCGCGCGCGCGCGCAGCGTGTGTGTGTTGTGTGTGTGTGTGTGTGTGGTGTGTGTGTAGTGTGTGTTAGATAACTGATATATATGAATTGTGCGCGCCTGGAATATATGACATTTTTCAACATAATATGATAAGAGCTTTCGCTGTTGTCTGTTATCCATGTTCGCACAAAATATCGGCCAACCCTTGACTCGATGCAGCGTAATGTACGCAGTAACTCACTTACATACGCACAAATACCACGCACGGCAGGCACATACACGCACAAACAAACGCGCGCACACACACATGCAGCGCATAACACGCACACACACACACACACACACACACACACACACACACACACACACACACACACACACGCACACACACACACACACTCGCAGATGATCTAAATAATTTGGCATCTGCCGCAATCGATAATCAGTCAATAGCTTCGCATCCGTTCGCGTGATCAGCGAGATTCATCCGATTCTATATTCGGCATAAATTCTCCTCTACCCAACTCAATACTCATCGTGCGGTTCTTTCTTTGCCGATGCTTACTCTGATGCTCACTCCCTTACTAATCCATCAGCTTGTGTGATTAGCGCTATTCCCTCGCTATCTATAACTCAATACATCGTCTGCTTCTCTCCTCCACATGATTCGCCGAGCAACCTACGGATCGACACGAGATACAATGCGAGCCTAATTTCTCTCTTTATCCCATTTGATTAACAGTAAATCGCTAGCTAACTCGTGCAATTTGCCTTATATCTCTAACCGACGTCGAATCGCCTTCGTTTCCATGTGGTTCAGGTAGTGTACAATAGGTGAGGGCGGCCTTAGGCAGCAGGCCTGAATAAGCATCGAACAGAAGTTCATTAAACCACGTTCAACGGTGCCGGTGTTAACAATGCACCTACCGCCCTGCGCAGGGATTTTTGTGTTTTTACCGCGTATTCACTTATTGATTTACCACATTTTTCTTTCTTTGCAGGGAAGCTAACCAAACTGACACATTTACTCTGCATGAATGTTATCTCACCCGTACACGTACAAATAGTATGGAAATCGTTCCCCTTCATAATAATATATTGATATGAAAACAGGGCAAAAACGGACATTTCGTGCATTTTCGTTTGAAATGCCACCGCGCCAGTGGATTTTCGAGTTTGTTACGATATCATTCGACAGTCGACAATTTTTTCTGGTAAGAAATATGACAACGCTTACACATGTGTGGGGTATGAACCTTGTTTTGTGTTTCTACATGCAAAAATACCTCGAAATTTAACATACTACACAGTTATTATATTATATATACCGTGGCGTTAGGAAAACGGTAAACAAGCCTTGTTGAACGGACTTTAGCCCCGAATTTACCTTGAGTCTAAAAACGCCTAATTTCACGTTCGAAGCAACGGTAAAGCATTGTATTTGTTAGTTCATGTAAGACTGGGGTAATATAGAGTGTTCCTGTTTAATTTCTATGTAGGTAGTGCCTGCCATCTGTTGGAAATCAGAGTAACAAAAACCAATAATCTATCCACGAGCTGACTCGTGAATCCTCGGGGTGCGTTTTGATTGTTCCCACGAGCTGACTCGTGGATCCGCGGGGAACGTGTAATAATACGCCAATAAAAAAAACAGCTAACGGCAAATGAACACCAATCAAGCTAGACTATAGGCCGCCAATGAACGCCAATCAACGCCAATGAAACGCCAATCAATTAGACTATAGGCCGTACACTACAAATGCATTCAAATATTGACTTTTGTGGTCCCCTCCTTGGCAGAACATGAAACATTGTTTAACGTGTAGCTAATATGATGCCAATCACTATTCCAACTTATCCCACTCGCGCAACACGCACACTTACCCACAATTCTTGCTCAAATATAATTAATGCAAATTTTTTCAATTTCTTGCATTTTTTTCACTTAATGTGATTTAAGCAACAAATAGCAGTTTTAACTTAAAGGATATTTATTAGACAGGTATCTAAGAAGATAACTTGGGTAAACAGTATTATATATTTAATATTAAAATTGTTTTTTTTACAATTTCTTATGTATTTTATTGTTTTCAATGTAAATTGCAATTAAAATAGTAGTGATGTCCCAATGATCGATTATAATCGAAAATCGATCGATTATAGTCTCAAATTCGATAATCGATTATGAAAACAAATAATCGATTATCAAAAATACCAAAAAAATAAAATAAAATACCAAAAAAATTAAATAAAATAAAATAATTTTTTAAATTACTAAATCGCAACATGGACATGC